TCGTTGACCGCGACCTTGAAGTGGTCAGCTTCAACCAGGACTTGTATCTAGGAACCAAACATGGAAACAGTCAAAACATGCAACAACCAGTGCAATTTAGGCATTCCACCACCGTGCTTTCCAGGGCATACTGTCTGCCAGGTTTTGTTTTCATCTGTTAATGTCTATGTAAAGAGGGAAGAAAAATATATATTCTTAAACCAGTGTAGTCTGAGTTCAAGAAGTTCGGTATTTCATTTTACTTGCAGAATCTAGAACAGTGACTGAATAGCAAAAAAAAAAAAATCTAGATTGTCAGATTTAAAACACAATAAAAAGGTCTGGAGAGATGGCTCAGTAGTTAAGAACACTGCTCTTCCAGAGGGCCTGAGTTCAATTCCTGCCAACCACATGGTGGCTCATACCCATCTGCATTGGGGTCTGATGCCCTCTTCTGGTGTGTCTGAAGAGAGCAATGGTGTACTCATCTACATAAATAAATCTTTTTTTAAAAACACAAAAAGATAAAGTTATTGGAAGAATTGATAATGGCAACCATAAAAACAGTTTATGTACATAAATGTTTAGTTTTAGCCAGGCTGTGGTGTCACATGCCTTTAATCCCAGCACTCAGAGGCCGAGGCAGGAAGATCTCTGAGTACCAGAACAGCCAGGGCTACACAAACCCTATTTTCTCCACCAACACTCTCCAAAAAACCACCCACAAAAGTTCAGTTTTAATGGGGCCTAGAATACCTAGAAGTTAAAAATGACAACATAGGAAGGAATTCCTTAATGACAAATATTAACTTACAGGACAGGTTAATTTATAGCCAGTTTTGGGAAGGCCAGAAATACTTTTCCCCATAGTTAATGAACATTCATCCATGAATCCTGTAAATGGAGTTTTGTGATCTAGAAAATCGATGCACTATTAGACTATTTGGAGAGGTACCAGTGGCTCCTCCAATGGGGAGGCTCCCGAAGGAGCTGAGGAACGTGCTGCTCCTGGCAACATCCCTTGCCTGTGGAGGCTGGAGGTTGCCGGGGTAGGGAGGAAGGTTGGCCGGGTGCCTAGGACAGGTTTTCCAGTGATTCCCATTGATAGAAAATGTAGGAGTACAGCCGCAACTTACTTTGAATGGTTTGCCGCTCTCAAAGGGGAAAACTGACTGTCTTTCTTCCCTTCCCCAGTTATTGTCCTGCTTTGTGTTACACACAATGACTCTTTTGTTGTTCTCATTGAAGCGGGGGTTAAAGTGGAAGGCGATGTCATTCCCTCTCTTGAAATTCAGAGTAAGACTGTTTTAAAACAGAAATCAAAGAGAATTAAAGTGAGTATCAAGTCAAGAACATCTAACTTTCTAAAATACAAACCCTTTCATAATATGTTGGAACTGTTTTTCTGTTCTGGAGGCAAAGAAGGCACAGTATAAGATCCAACTCAAAAAGAACAGGCACATCCTCTCATTCATTGCTGTAATCACCTTGGAGGTTCAGCGGGACAATATGCCTTGTCTGTTCATTGAGACAGGATCTCACTATGTAGCCCAGACTGGCCTCCAGCTCATGAGTCTCACCTATCTTGGCCTCCCGAGGGGTGTGATTCCAAGTGTGTGCCACCAGCTGTCTTGTTTGGGGGGTCATTCCTGACTGTAGTGCTCTCTTCACAGACACACTCTTGTGTATTCAGGCAAATGCTTCTCCATAGCCTCATAGTTTTAGACCCATCCTGAGAGCATTTTGTACCTTGCTATACATAATAATAATGATTCTTTTCTTGCCCTGATAGATTACTCTTAATATCTGTCAAGACCAAGCCAGCTACCTAAGAACTGTCAAATACCTGACTTTGTCATGGTTAACCGGGAAGCTCAGAACAGCAGGGTACATGGATGTAGCTAATGTTTCCTTCCCGGTTGCTATGTCGTAAAATCAGGACACGCCACATTATGAGGTGGGACTGTCGAAAGTGCCACTTGAACTTTCTGACCCTTTTTGTTCTTGTGTGTTAGTACAAACAAACACAACTCTGTGGTTAAGGGGCTGGCCCTACTGGGTTTCTTAAGGTGAGCTCCCTACAGTAACACTAAAAGCTAGATTCTCATGTGTAGTTTACATAATCTTCTTAACTAAAATAGTCTGTATTTCGAAACCATTCAACAGATTGGTGGTTGGGGTCACCCTTGTACCTGTTTGCGTTGGGTTTCACTGTGCCCATGATTGTGATCAGCATGCGAGGCATGACTCCTCCAGGCAAGGGCAGATCGTAGGGCACTGTCTGGGACAGACAAGAATTCCAGTGTCAGTAAAGCATGGTGTTTTCTTGGGGAATGTAAAGGTACATTGCAAACATTGTTACAATGCATGTGACCAATACAGAACCTGGGTAGATTCTGAGGCCACTTTGTCCAGGGCCTAAAGAGATGGAAAATAGTGTTCCCTGTGTGCACAAAAGTTAATTGAGAAATTAACAAATTAAGGAGCAAATGTTCTTGGACCATCATGGGCTGTTTCAACCCATAATTCATCCACATGGACTCATTTTTGTAACGTTTTAACCTAGACTGTTGAGCAACAAACAATCTTTTCATGCACAGGTCCCTGGGTCCTTTGTCACATGACATACAGCACCGTAATTCTCCCTGAGGAAAGGTTTGTGTCGACTGGGACTTCTGTGCTCACAGGTCACCAGCTGAATGCTTTGCACAATAGTCTGTGTTGAATGTGCACTTCTATGGTTCATTCCACAAGTGTTGAGCAAAGTGCTTAAGGTGTGGTCATCCCAAGATCTCTGTCCCTGCCTCTGGTCTCTCTCCTCTATGAAGCTTCCTCTGTCCCTGCCTCTGGTCTCTCTCCTCTATGAAGCTTCCTCTGTCCCTGCCTCTGGTCTCTCTCCTCTATGAAGCTTCCTCTGTTCCTGCCTCTGGTCTCTCTCTATGAAGCTTCCCCCTAGGTTCTGCTGTCTCCCAAACGCCCATCTCTCGCCCTGATCTGCAGGAGACCTTGTATCTGCTTCCCGAAGTTGCTCCCAGAGGGTGGGTGAACTGGAAGGCTCCTTGCATGGGAATGAGCTGGAGGAGTCTCCCCTACCCCATCCTTTCCCTTTCCTGCATCCCTGGTTTGGGCTAAAGTTTTGCAGCCTTGAAAAGCTCTCAGTATTTACTGGGGTTATAAGTATAAGCCGCCAAACTCAGTTAGTGTTTATTAATAATGCAGCTTTGCCTCATATTATAATTAGTTTTTGAAACAGGATCTCAATGTAGACCAGATTGGCCTCATATTTACAGAGATATTTCTGCTTCTGTTTCCTAAAGGTGTTCACCACTCATTATTGCTACAATCTTAACTTGATTTATATTAAAGCACCTTTATCAATGCCTTATCAAGTCACAGAATAAACTCAGTATTAACACACTCCTTTTCCCACTTGACCAATTACATCCCCGTGGTTAGCCCTTAAGACATGGCTCTAAGCAGCAGGCTTAGATTCCCCCAATGTCCTCTCCACTTGTACAGCAAGCCCACGAAACAACCCTTCCTCCTTACCAGTGGTCCAGTGGGGGCACCATAGGGTCCAGCAGCAGGATAGGCTCCAGGCGCACTGGGGTAGGCCCCAGGTCCCCCAGGTTGCCCTGGGAAGGCTCCAGGGGCAGTTGGGCCAGGATAAGCTCCAGGAGCAGTTGGGCCACCCGGGTAGGCACTAGGAGGAGCCTGTCCAGGATAAGCCCCTGGAGGAGCCTGTCCTGGGTAGGCCCCTGGAGGAGCCTGTCCTGGGTAGGCCCCTGGAGGAGCTTGTCCCGGGTAGGCCCCAGGATAGGAGGCCCCTGGGTAGCCCCCTGCCCCAGGCTGGTTCCCCCATGCACCCGGATATCCTTGAGGGTTTGGGTTTCCAGAGCCAGCTAAGGCATCATTAAGCTGTAAAGAAAGACAAACAATTAGAGGATGGGACTCCTTCACTACAGAGAGTTCAGGGGACTACAGGCATTCGTGATTTAAGAAGCTGAGAGATGGGAAAAGATTCACACTCTTCCCTCGCCTATTCTGCTGTTTTGAGTTTGGTCCTCTGCTGTTTTGTATTATATTTTACTGGCCTCTCATTGTTAGAGATCAGGGTGGGTTAAGCTCTTCCTGCCTACAGGAACTGGCTGGTTCCAAGCACATATCAACACGAGAAATGGCTGCAGGTGTTGGCATGAGCAGACTATGCCATGGTCCTGCTGCCTCCAGGACACACATCACTGTTGCGGAGGCCACGCCTCTCCCTGGACTCTGCTGTTGGAAAAACAAGCCTATCACTAATGGGTCTAAATGCACAAGTGAGCCAGAGGGAATTTCACAGTAGGAGGATCAAAGGGAAAGCTCCCGGTAGAAATGAAACCTTTAACCCGTGTGAGTACGTATGGGGCCAAGAAAACAGACATGAAATACTTACGGAAAAGCTGTCTGCCATTTTCCTAAGAGAGAAAAGCCAAAGAGAGTTATTAGCATTTGAGCCTAAAACACTTTACAAACCATCATGAGATTAAACATCACAAATAGTTCATGAGCAATTCCAGTCATTCTACAATCATTTTGCCTAAGTCAATGGTACTGGGCCTTAAAACCATCTTGTCAACAGGCTGGAATGCATTCTAGCTAAATTCCAAACCCACTGAGGTTGTGAAGTCAGACCTTGATGCCAGGCACTTGTGTTCTGAAGCCGAGGAGTAAAAGACCTTGGGGGCTAAGGAGTAGGTTGAGAATTTCCTGCCTCTTCTCTCGGTGAAAGATGGTACAAGACACAGCTTCTCCTGGCTACCTGCTTCCTTGGGTTTTTCTGCCCTTGCAAGGAGGATTCATGGGAAATACAGCCCTCCTCTCTTCCCAGCCTCAGCACTTCTGGGACATTAGAGGAAAGCTATCTGTGGGTTCCCATTGAGCTCTCAAAGACAGCTGACATGGCCTGGTTATTTATTCTTGTTTGGCACACCCTGGTGCCTGCTCTGCGCCATCACTTTCCACAACCACAGGGCCCACAGACCAGCAAGCAACATGAGACGCATGCACACCAGAGTATGCTCAGTGCCGCAAGACTCTGCTGGGACATTCATATCTGAGAGCTTACAGGTGAGCTGGGAAGGGCGATGATGGTGGACAGGTGACATTGGTTGGTTAGATTTTGAAGTGTTCAGTATTAAGGTTTTTCTGTGTAGCTCATCTTAACTTTGAACTTATGATCCTCCTGCCTCAGCATCTCCAGTGTTGGCTGTGGTGCCTGTGTTTGTTTGTTTTAAAGGTGCTCAATATTCCAAATAAAACAGCAGTTATTCAGCCAAACAAAGGTGAGTCAGGCGGCAATGTGAACAGAAAGCAGTTGCATTCAAGATACTGCCAAACAGGTTTGCCTTACACAAAGCTGTTGAGGGGCTGGTTTGTAGACATAGCCTGTTTCCTCCAGCTTGTGTTCCTGTGCCACACCTATAAAACCACAAAATGCCTGGAACCTGCTCCCCCCCCACCCCCTTCAACAGATCCCTCAATGCACCAGAGGGCAGCTTTGGTTTGGAAACTTTTCTTAGGGTGCTGGGGATTGGATTAGCAGTAGCATATTTGATATTAGATATGCATTAGCATATTTGGCAAGCAGCCACTGGAGGGCAGCTTTGGGCGGGGGTAAGTTTGATCAGAGCTCAGAATGACCGCATCATTTTGCTACCATGAGAACTACCTGGACCTGGAAATAAACAGACTCCTCTGACTTCATTTGCCCACCTGTGATATTTTACTCAATTATCCCAAGAAATAACATGATTAGGTGAGCATAGTGTCCCTGCCTGTGAGCTCAGCGTTCTGTAGCATAAGAACCCCCATGAGGCTGAGGTCAGCCTGGACCACACAAAAGCTCCAGGGTCTCATTCTAGCCTTCACCACTCATAGCAATCCTCCTTCCTCAGCCTCCCAATGACTGGACTCAAAGGCATGAGCCACAGTTTCTGGCTTCAGAATTTTCTTAAGAAAATAAAACCTAGGCTGGGCAGAGTGGCACACAGCACTCAGAAGGCAGGGGCAGGCAGATCTCTGTGAGTTTGAGGCAAGCAGAGTTGAGGTCTACAGAGCAAGTTCCAGACCAGCCAATGCTACGTAGTGAGATCTTGTTATGAAATAGTTTTGAAGTTCAAAGTGGGCAGAGAACTTAACACTTCTGAGTAACCTTTCTCCACCCCTTCAGCAATATCTCTGGCTTCAAGCCATTAGATGCTAGTGGCACACTACTCTATAACTCGTGACAACCCCAAATGTTTTCAAACATGGACAAATCTCTAAGGCCCAAACCACGTATGGTTGAAAACTACCAATCCAGGCTGTTAATGTCTATCCCTAGGTAAATGTACATACAAGGGACCATAAAAACCAATAAAGAGTTTCAGTCTTTAAAAGTAGCCAAGTTTACAAGGAAGGATGGTCACCACTGCCACCTCAGGTCTAGCGAGGCTGAGGCAAGAGGAACGGAAGTGTGGAGCCTGACTGAGCTGCATAGGCAGACCGTGTTTCAAAAACAAGAGCGATCTATTGCTGGGCATGGTGCTGCACAGCTCTAATCCTAGCACTCAAAAAGCTGAGGCAGGAGGATTGAGTTTATCGTTAACCTAGGCCACATAGCTTTTGTCTCCAAAAGCTAACCAACGAACACTTCCCCCTAATGAAACCCTATTTTTTCCTTCTAAAGTACACTACAGCTTAAAGAGACTTGAAGATTTACAAATTAAACTCTTAAGCCTGAAGGCCAAATCTCTGATAAATAATGTTTCACTCAAAAAATTCTCTGTGAGAAAAAAAGAAAACAAACAACCTAACTTTACCATTTTCCCTAAAAGGTGCTCTAAAAACAGAACACCAGTCAAATTATGTGAAAAGAACAATACATCGAGAAGTGCTAAGGGACACGTCCACATGAAGCTTTGCTCTGCGCAAAGCCTCTGATCAGGGCTGGCTTGGTCTATTTTCCAATCTGACCAAATGAAATCCTAGAGGCAGCAGATTTCACTGAGACTCACGTGGGCCTTGGATGACACTTTGGACAGCACTGTGACACATTCCACAGGATGTCAGGATAATGACACCCTCCCAGCACTTGTACAGGGATTTTCAGTTCCCAGAGAACTTCCACAGAATTTTTATTTTCTTAGCAATCTGGTGACACTGGCTGGAGAAAATATTCCCACTGTGAAGTGAGGAATCCGAGAGCTGATTCAGAGGCCGAAGCCATCTCATCGGCATCCTGGGAATGAGGGCCCATTTCCTGACTCCTGATTCATGTTTGTCCTATACTAGTATAAAAGTATACATTTTTGTTGTTTTAAAATCTTTCAAAATGGCTAGGCAGTGGTGGTGCATGCCTTTAATCCCAGCACTTAGGAGGCAGAGGCAGGTGGATTTCTGAGTTTGAGGCCAGCCTGGTCTACAGAGTGAGTTCCAGGACAGCCAGGGCTATACAGAGAAACCCTGTCTCGAAAAACCAAAAAAAAAAAAAAAAAAAAAAAAAAAATCCTTCAAAATGTTTAGTTACTTCCCTGAAAAATTCTCTGGCTTGTTCACCCAGAACTGCATAGCATGCTGAAATAGTAAACAGATTTAAAAATAAGATAGAGCTTTGGCCAGAACACTAACTTGGTGAATCATTCAACACACAGGCTACTGAGTACAGAATGCTTTTGTGCACAGTCACATTGCTAAGAAAAACCACATTTTAACCAAAAAATTATGTTTTCCCAAAAAAGTATTGTTTTTAGTTTTTTTTACAGTATTTACTTCTCAAACACAGATTTTTTATTGAGGTATGTCTGTGTGTGTGTGTGTGTGTGTGTGTGTCTGTGTCTGTATGTGTGTATGTGTGTGGTGTGTGTGTGTCTGTATGTGTGTGTGTGGTGTGTGTGTGTGTGTGTGTGTGTGTCTGTGTGTGTGGTGTCTGTGTGTGTGTCTGTGTGTGTGTCTGTGTGTGTGTGTGGTGTGTGTGTGTGTGTCTGTATGTGTGTGTGTGGTGTGTGTGTCTGTATGTGTGTGTGTGGTATGTGTGTGTGTCTGTATGTATGTGTGTGTCTGTATGTGTGTGTGTGTGTGTGTCTGTGGTGTGTGAATGTGTATGTGTCTGTTACAGTGAAGATTTAGGCTTTGGCTATTGAGGGAGCTGGGCAGAAAGGCACCTGAATCATACATAAGACCGCCCGAGGACACTTGAGGTCACTGGCAAGAAGTAAGAAGTTTCTTTATATATCTCAAGACAGGTCTTACTCTTTGGCCTGGGATAGCTTGGAATTCTAAATGTAGCCTATGCTGGCCTTGAACTTGAGATTCTCTGGGTTCTGCCTCCTGAATGTTGGAATTACAGGCACTTATTCCGACATCCATCTAAGGAAATGTTCTTTGGAAAGCGTCTGTACATACTCAGGAGGCAGAGGCAGGTGGGTGTTATAAATCCAGTCCTGCCTGATGTATGAACTTCTAGCCAGTGCTACCTGTGAGACCTCATCTTGAAAGATGATGAACAAGTGTTTTTGACCCAGTGAACTATCTCATTGATTGAGAACCCCTGAATAGACTCATTCTACAGGAAAATGATCAATTTTCCAGTCAACCCTCAAGCAATTCTCTACCTCTTCTCCTCTGTGTACAATTTAGTGAGCCATCTATTAAACACTTGTAAGCTTAAGCCTGAAAGACCCCATCAAAGTCCTCTCCAGAACATGGACTCAGTACAGATTTTAAACCAAACTCCTAAACATTGTGAATTTAGGAAGCTAGTCTCCATCAAAGATAAATATGACTATCTTAGGAAAAAAGTCTAGTGTAAAGATGATCCACATCTGTAATCCCAGCACTTAGGAAACCATGGTAGAAAGAGCACCACAGGTTCAAGGCTAGCCTGAACTCTGTACTGAGTATGAAGCCAACCAAAGTTATGGTGTAATACCCTATCTCGAGAAACAAGCAAAACAAAGCAAAAATGTGATCAGTGACCAAGAAGGAGACAATTGCTAGGTGTGGTTCTACTGGCCTGGAAAAATCACAAGTTCTAAACCAGCCTAGACCACATAGGAAGACCTTGTCTGAACAAAAAATTCTTTCAGTCTCAAGGTCTTGACCTGCACCCCCCACCACCAAAGACTATTGTTGCAGAAAAGCAAGTTTTTTTGTTATTAAACTTCAATTTTTATGGAAACAGTTGGGTGTGGTAGCTTACACTGTTAGCTACTGTACTTGGGAGACTGTAACAGGACTGAAAATTGAAAGCCAGACTGGGCTACACCTGCCTAAGCTGCAGTGGCATCCTGCCTCCTTGTGATGGTCTGCATATGCATATGCTTGGCCCAGGGAGTGGCACTATTAGAAGGTGTGGCGCTGTTGGAGTAGGTGTGCCACTATGGGTGTGTACTTTAAGACCCTCATCCTAGCTGTCCGGAAGCCAGTCTTCCACTAGCAGCCTTCAGATAAAGATGTAGAACTCTCAGCTCTGCCTCCACCATGCCTGCTTGGATGCTGCTATGCTCCTGCCTTGGTGATTATTGACTGACGATCTGAACCTATAAGCCAGCCCCAATTAAACGTTGTCCTTAGAAGAGTTGCCTTGGACATGGTATCTGTTCACAGCAGTAAAACCCTAACCAAGACTCTTCTCTTTCCCCCCAAAAGCAAATAAATGGAAATATAAACTTGGAATTTCAGAAATTGGTGAGGTTTTACACAATTGTGATTCCTGTTGTTTTCCTCAGAATTAGCCGGGTCACAAAGTCCAAATGTTCTCATTAACTAGAAACCCTACTCCCCAGGGATCGATTTACAAATATTCCAATTCCTTCAAATAAGAATCACTTGCTTCCTACTAGGGTTAGCCAGAATCCTAAACCACAGCCTCGATCCCCCCCTCCTCAGTTCCCCGTTTGAATAACAGATAATTCAGGATAAATGCAACTTTTGAAAGCTAAGGGTTTGTTTTGCACTCTGAGACAAATACCGCCACACCCAAGACTTCCTCCACCCAGATCTAGAGGTTATTGCACAAATATCCACACTGGTCAGGGATGAGTCACTTGGCTTACAAAAAATTTTAGAGGTTACAGTAGTTCTTCATCGCGACACATGCGCACTAGGGCCTGGGCAGCACTTTTGCGTGCGATCAGGAAAGCAGGGAGTGGCTGTAGCCCCTGCCACCGCTGAACCTGGTGGAACCCACTGGTACCATACAGCAAGATCTCTAGCGGAAGGCTTCCAGGTGCACCAAAGGAGCCTACTGGCCAAGTCAGGAATCCTGGGCGATGTCTGCTGGATCTCCAAACTCCTACCCCAACCCGCAACGTGCCAGGAGGGGCACCTGATTCCTATGACCAAGCTAGGGGCAACTTGGAGCCAGGCTACACGGTAGATCTCCGTGGGTTGTGGCTCACTGGAGCGCAGGGCTTCGGAGGCATCCCGCCATCCCAAAGAGACTTAGTATGTCGGTCATGACTAACTTTCTCCGAGAGTTACCCGCTGGAGAGCCACGACGGTGGACCAGCGCCTGGGACCCTGAATGGAACTTCCGCCCATCTCCCGGGAACCCAGCCCTTTCTTGGTGCACTGAGCAGTACCGGTCCCCTTACCCCGCGCCGCTCACCTGGTTAGTGCTCTCTGTGCTTCTCGCCTTGTTAGTGCTCCTCCTGCTGCTCCGCTAGCTGTTAGAGCTGGGCGGTGGCTCGGCGGCTTCTAGTATACTTTTCCCCGGGCCCGCCCTCCTGGGGCGGGGCAGCATCCCTCGCCCTGCAGGCGCCTGCTTGGACCGCGCCCCGGGGACCCCGGAGTTTCCCCAAGGTGGACTGGAACACGCCCGCCAGCCTGTGCCCCTCACCTGTTCCCCGCAGTGGGTTCTTGCTCATCGCACCCAGACTCTCAGACTCACCCGATTCCCTTGTCTGAAGCTGACTTTCGTGGTCTCACCCTGCCCCTATTTCCTTCAGCTGAAGCCTTCCCCAGAAATGTGCAGTGACTTTGAGTGTGAGGGGAGGGAGGAGCAGGTGTCCCTGACATGTCTGAGATGTAAGAGGCGCCCCCGTTTGCAGTCACTCCTGCTCTGGATTTTGCTGGGCTAAGTACCCCAGTGTGGAACATAGTAGGTTCTCGGTGGGTATTTGTTGAGAATGAATGAATGAATCAATGAATACTTGCGGACAAATGAATGAATGAATGAATGAATGAATGAATGAATGAATTAGAATGAATGGGTAAATTGCTTCCTAGGAAGATGTTTTCTTAAAGATTGGAGAGTCCAGCACAGCAAGGGACAGTTAAGTCAAGAGAACAGGGTGTAGCTCTGTCTGTATGAAACGTTGTTACAAGAGCAGCCGCTTTTGCAAGAAGGCTGATAACCAGTTTGGAAGCCTTTATATAGATAAAAACTGAGTGATGTGGTTAAGGATGTTCAAGATAATTTTCCCCCGGTTTCAGATAACATCAGCTAACATCCACCAAATGCTTATGCACCCCACGCTGTGCCTAGGGCGTTACATACGTTTATGGAGTTGGCATTATTTTAATCCTATTAGGTCCAAAGCAGTCCCCCAAAATGCCAGTGCTGGTTCTAAACTGGGGGACTCTGGCCATGCAAATAGAAGCTCAGAGGTGGTTTCAGTTGACCAGGAACTCCCTTAGTCTGCCTCCAAATGTCAACTACCTCAGGCAAGGGCATCTACTTCTCTGTCAATCCCAACAGCCTCTAACAGCCCAAAGCCCCCCATTCTTCTTACTTCTCCCCACACCCAGGTCGGGGGGGTGTTTGTTGTCTTGGTGGTTTGAGCCCCAATAAGCTTTTCTTTCTACCCATGGAGTTAGTTCAGTTCAGTGGTTTCACTGTGCCCTTGCTTACAAATCCCATTTTAGACATGAGAAAATATGTGTATAGAGAGTTAAGTGTAATCCGGTAAGGGTGCTTGCCTAACTTTGATCCTTGTAACTCATGAGGAAAGCAGAGAATCAACTCTTGAATGTTGTCGTCTAAGCCACACACACATGCTCACATGCATATGTGCAAACATAAATGCATTTTAAAATATTAAAACAGTTAAATAAAATTTTAGAAATGAATAAATGTGTGGGTTTTTTTTTTAAATCACTGTAGGTAGGTGTGGTGGCTCATGCCTTTAATCCTCTTGGGATCTGCATGCTCTTGGGATGCAGAAACAGACGGATCCCTTCGAGTTTAAGGCCAGCCTAGTCTGTATGGGAATGTGAGGCCACCAGGGATATACAGGAAGGCCCTGTTTCAAAAGCAAAAATTAAAAACCCCAAACAATCACCGTTGCCACTGGCTTCTGTAAACCATGGAGCAGCCCAGATGTCACCTGGCTGTCAAGATTTCCTGTAGTCTGGAAAGTAATCAGTTATTACTGTGTTAACAAGTAGTCTCAGCCAGCTGTCCACAACCAGAGGGAAATGTGCATTCACCAGTAGCACTGGGGAGGCCTGCTCTCTTTTCTAGGATAGATTTACAAGCTCTACAGAGCCCCTGCTGCCCCTCCAAGCTTACACACACGGAAGTCACTGTGCGGCTGGAGAAGAATTCAGACGCCATGAACTCTCCTCTACACACGTAGCCTGGCAACCGATTTGTTTGAATGAGTCATCTGTAGATGATTAGCATGTGGGCATCGAACAAGATGGACTGAGAGGAATGTCTTTAGTCTCTTAAGAAAACATTTATGGTCTTAAGACAGTGAGTCATGAGGACACTCTCGGAAGGTTAGCTAGAAGTGGACAGCCGAAAAGGTTGCTATGGCGATAAGAGATGAGTCACACTCTTACTCTGTGGGTAATCGTTGGTCATTTTTAGGGATCGATAAAAGATATGTCTTTGTTACTTAGAAGGCTTACTTATGCTGAATCATGAGGTCAGACTTATGTCTTCACTGCCCATCGGAGCGAACGCTTCTATGCCAATTTCATGCCAAGTAAAGCTAGCAAAAGGGTCTTGCTGTATCAAGGAGTGCCTGGAGTTTACGATCTGTATAGGTGCAGTGAATGACTCTTTAGAACCCAGCCCAAAGCCTATATAAACTCTTTGAAAATAAATGTACAAGACAGTCTCATAAAATATCACTGAATGGCTTCTAGATACCAATGACTGTTCTGTTTGAAATAAGGGGCAAGCCTGACCTCAACCCTCAGCAGCTGGTCACCTGGTTTCTTCTGATACAGAGACATTAGGACTCTGACTTAATACACAGATGAGCAGACAGTCAGGCAAAGGCCTCAGAGCAGCTTCATACTTGACAGAAGCTGGTTGAGGTATCTGAAGGAGGGAACTTCAGGTAGAGGAAGCCAGGAGAGAGTGAAAAAATACTAAAGCAGTGGAAGGAAGTCTGAAGGGAGGGGGACCAATTAGTCACTTTTTAAATAGGAAAATTAAAATTGGGGAAGAAGGCTAGGTGTAGAATAGGAAAATAATAAACATAGAACGTCATGTTGGGGGGCTGCTTAAAGATGGCTCAGCAGGTAAAGGTGTCTCCCACCAAGTTTGATCGCCTGAGTTCAAGCCTCCAGGGCCACGTAGCAGGAAGAGAAAACTGACTCTTGCAGGTTGTCCTCTAACCTCCATTCGTGCACTGCGGCAGGCACATGTCCTCCCACACAGAAATAACTAAATGTAATAAAAATTAAAGCATGAAGAAATATGAAATACAGCCAGAAGGAGAAATTTCCCAGAAACTAGCTACGCTGTGCCAAATAAGGAGAGATGCCCCACAAAACTTGAAGCCCTGGGGAAATATAAACAGAACCACATTGACAGGAACTCTCAGAGAGCAGCTAGTTAGAACAACCAGCAAAGAGGAAAGGAAAAGATCTTCCCACTTGTCACCTCTGATCCACAGAGAATTTCCCGGTTCTGCCTGTGTCTACATCCTGTCAACACATCCAGGTGACAACTGAGAATCAGAGCTGACCTGGGGACATTAGGTGCATGTAATGCTCATAGCTAGCTTCTGAGTTGGGAGCCTAGAACCTTTGGGACATGCCTTCGTGTCATGGGAACACAATTTGTGTCATGAAGACAGAACACTTTCCAGTGTTCTGGAGCCAAGGTCCTGTGGTCATCTGCTGCTAACATCTCAGCTGCTTGAAGCTGGGCCTTCATTTTCAGTGTGCTTAGCAGGTACCCAACGTATGCCTCAACCATTTTACAAACCCACTCTTTGTAACTCAGTCAACAGACAAGTTTGTCAAAATCTGGCCAACACATAAAATGGGGTCAGTGGTAACATACCAATTGCTAGTTAACACAGTCTCCCTGCCCAGGCTGCAGCCCAAGCCCCCTCAAGAATGCACTGGCAGCTCCAACCAGCTAGTGTAGAGAGAAGCCACCAGATGAGGGAATCAGAGGTATCTGGGTTCTAGGAAAGCTCTTCTCGCTGCCTGCCTCTGCACCAGTCACCTTTGTCCTTTTTCTTCCACAAGCCTAACCCAGGCTGGCCTTTAGTACCAGCTGCCACAAAACCCACACACCTATAACAGCACCTCCTGAAAGCTTGGGGCCTCAGTGTGCACATCAGCTCAACACACCTACCGTCTATGGCTGCCCCTGACAGAGCCCACTCCCAGGGTTAAGCTTTAGACACATCAGCTGCCCCTGTGAGTAGACAGAAAGTAAGGCAAAGGAAAGGAGTGGGAGGGTTTGCTGTGGCTGCTCTGGTGGAGTACTGTAGCCTGGGTGCTTCAGTGACAGACTCACTCGCTTGCAAATGTGTAGGCCATAAGTTCAAGAACAGAGTTACTTCCCCCTCTTCCTCCTCACCTCCTCCCTGCTCCTCCTTCTCATCCACTTTTTTCTTCTCTTCCTCTTCCTCTTCCTCTTCCTCTTCCTCCTCCTCCTCCTCCTTTTTGAGCAGGGTCTTTCTATGTATCCCTGGCTGGCCTAGAACTTCCTATGTAGACCAGGCTGGCCATAAACTCATAGAGATTCATTTGTCTCTTCCTCTCAAGTACTGGGATCAAAGGTGTGTGCCACCATGACTGGCTCCTCCTCCCTTTCTTTCTTTCTTTCTTTCTTTCTTTCTTTCTTTCTTTCTTCCTTCCTTCCTTCCTTCCTTCCTTTCTTTCTTTCTCTCTTTTTTTCTCTCTCTCTCTCTTTCTTTTTTTTTTAGATGGGATATTCTTTCTTATTCTTTGACAGTCTCAGATATGTGAGAGTTAGTCTCTTCTTTGGCCTCTCTCCTTGGCTTGGAAATGACTGAACTCTGTCCACATCCTCATGTGGTCTTTCCTCTGTGTATCTCCATGTCCCAGTCCTCTTTTCATGGAAGGCCACCAGTCATACTACTGGATCAGGGCTCACCCTAATGTCCCCACGTGAACTTCTCAGCTCCTTAAAGTCCCCACTCCCAAATACAGTCACATTGAAAGGTACCAAGAGTTAGATCTTCAACATGAATGAAGGAGGGACACAGCTCAGTCTATCAAATAGAACTGAGGAGTCAATTGTCCTGTTAGCTAAAGTGGTGCTGGCACTTTAGCGGATGATAGTTGAGCCGAGACCTAAGTACTGAGAAGGGCACCCGGGGAGACTGGAGGAAGTGGGCAGCAAGGACACTGAGTTGAGCAGGGAGACAGGACAGACGACACACATTGGGTGAGTTTTCATCTCTCTCTGAATGACCTTCCTGCCACATTTGAAGGGGTGGCCCTGGCCCTGTTGGAGCTTTTTGACATACTATAGTTGGTAGAATCAGAGGCAAACTGCCTTCCCA